GGGGCGCTGGAATGATCTAAAATACTGTACCGACAAAAATCAAATAAAATTCAGTGCCACGGGGTTGATGCCAAGTCACAGTGACCGGACAGGGCAGGGCAGAACTGCCCCGGTGAGCCCAGTACTAATCCTTTACGGGAGCAGAAAGCCCGTCTTTCTCGGGAAGCAATTGGTGGTTTCAAACTGCAGACCTTGCTGTCCAGCCGGTAACCACTGTGCTGCCAGGGGTCCTCAGAACAATCCAGGTGGGGAGGCAGGCAAGATCCAGGCAGGCTGCGAAGGCAGATAGCTACACTTTATCCTGGATTGCAGGCTGTGGGACCACTATCTTCACTGTGCGGGGGACACTGCGTTTTCTTGGTTTTTGCTTTCCTGAAACGGGGGTAGTAGGCCATACAAGTTTGGGGACCTGTGAGTTAGTGGAGTCCACCAGCCTCTGCTCAGGAGGAAAACCTGGCAAGGTGTCGCTGTCCCTCTGGGGACAGCCTTGCAAACCGTGGGCTGGCTCTACTCTGTCCTACTGGGCCACTCCGAGGCAGGAGCGCCTGACTAGGCGCACACAGCAACGAAACCATTGAAGAGGCCTTTGGGTGGCGGTGTGCCCCATCCATGATCTAAAGGTTGCCAGTTTGAATCCACCCTGTGGTTCCACAGAAGGAAAGTTTGGTGGCCTGTGCTTATTTGGGTTTAGTCATCTGTCGCCAACAACTTCACCTGGGTTTCAGAGGTGAGCAAACCTGTGAAGTTGTTCACAGTGGACTAGACTAGTAAGGAGGCCCACGTAAGCCCCTGCTTACCTTCCCCTCCCCAAAAACCCTCACTGTCACTTCTGACAGAGCAACCCTAGAGGGCAGAGCAGCACTGGCCGGGGTTGCCAAGACTGGAGCGCTCTACGGCAGTGGTTCCCAACCTTCCTGATGTCGCGACCCTTTCATACAGTCCCTGGTGTGGTGGTGACCCCCCAACCATGAAGTTATTTTTGTTGCTACCTCATCACTATCATTTTGTTATTGTTATGAATCGGACGGCCCCTGTGAAAGGGTCCTTCGACCCCAAAGGCGTCGCGACTCACAGGTTGAGAACCACTGCTGTATGGCATCAGAAAGGCCCGACTTTCTACCAAGGAGCAGCTGATGGTTTTGAGCTGCTGACCTTGCAGTTAGCAGCCCAACACCTTACCCACTACGCCACCAGTGCTCCAGTCCATCCCCGGCTGGTCTGCTCTGGTAAAGATGACCCTCAAGGAGACCCCATGGCGCCGTCCTGCTCTGTAACATAGGGGCCACCATGAGTCAGAACCAACTCCACGACAGTGAGTTTTTGGGTTAAACATAGATCAATGCATTTTAAAGTATTGAGAGAAATCCCCATCAGACTACAGTCCTGAATTTTGGTTTGGGGGAGACACCCATTGGACATGGGGAGTGGGGGCAGGGATGGAGGGGTTGGGATTTGGGTTGGAAGCACTGGATGGAGAAACTGGGGAGATGGTAAGCAGGGCATCCCTGAGGAGAGGAAATCAGCTCTCCGCGGGCAGAACCAGAGAGATGGGAGAGAGGCAGGGGCAAAGCTGAAACCCCCCAGGAAAGTGCTGGCTCTCGCCGAGGCCAGAACGAAGAGCTGACGGGCAGCCCCCGCCCCGTCTTATCCTCGCGGTTTCAAGTCTGCCCTTCACAGGGCAGCGCAAAGCGTCTTTCTGGAAGGTCTCCTGGGTCTCTGGACAGTACAGCTGCCTCCTCCGGGACTCATCGGTGATGCAGTGAGAAACAGGTGAAACTCTTCATTACAGGCCAGTAAGCACAAGGAAGCCTGTGCTTACCTTGCCCACTGGGTCTGCCATCCCTGTCAGGGATTGTAAATCCGAAACGTCTTCGGTTCTGGAGGAAGACGCTAGGTGAGAGGTGGGTGCTAGCAATACCTAGAAGCAGATTCTTTGATGTGGTGAGAAACCTGTGAACGGCTGGGCACAAGTAAGCCCCGGCAGACGCTGACCCAGATTCACGGGTGATGTGATACTGCCCCTGCCAGCCACCTGCGTCTCCCTTCTCACGATGCCTTCCACCAAAGTAACGTCTGTCTACTCCTCCAGTGAGCACCAGGAGGGCTGGACCCAACGCCCTCGTCTCTGTAACCCTCAACGTCTCTGCACAGGCATTACACATGATGGGGGTTAGGGACTCTGTCAACCAGACACGGAGCCGAACTTGTCAATGGGGTCACGGCCAGATGACACCTCCTTGGGGTCATAACCCTGTCTGTATAAGAGGGACTGAGTGAGCCGAGGGGAACCTTTGCCTTCTGCAAGGACTGGAGCTCGAGTCTGCGTCCTCCCTCTCCCGTTGCGTTGCCTGCCAATCCCAGGAGCACTATCAGACCACCAGCAGTGGAGTCATTCAGCCAACTTCAGCCCTCCACATCTACCAGCCGTGCCCCCTACCTCATCACCCTGCTTCCTATTCAAGAGAAGCCTGACTTGCCCAGGACTGGGCTTATCTATGCCTATAACCGTGTGAGCCATTTCTTGAAACACACCTCTTGTTGTAGACAATACCTTCAAGTGTTGCTGATTTCTCTTCTCTAGAGAACCCAGCCTGACACACGTCAAGAAAGAAGAACTGAGTCAAAGCATGGGCCCAGGAAGCCACGGCACACCCGCTGCTTGAAGGGAGGCCTGCAGCCTGGGAGCGGTCTGTCCTGGCACCCCCAGGCAGTCTTGATGCAGCTTCATGTCATCAACCAGTTGCCATGAGTCAGCCCTGGCTCCTGGCGACCTGTGCCCACATAGGACCGTGCGGCAGAGGTTTGCAATGGTGATTTCTTTTTCCCCCTGAACGGTGGTTTCTGAGTGGACTCAACCTCCAACCTTTGGGTTAGGTGCACGTTAACCATTTTCACCAAGAAAGACACCCTCCCAATGCTGTGGGGGGAGGAGTTACAGGCTGGCTTTCCCTCCACCAGCGGCCTTCAGTTTCCTTTTCTATGATGGGGGGGCAGGGGGGGGGCGGTGACACACCCACCCTGTGAGGCTGTGATGGGGATTCACTGAGATGGTGGCTCTGGGTGCTTTGCAAGATGCCAGGTGGCCAGTGTCACAGTCAGAGCCTCCTCCTCCGGCGGGATGAGCTGCAGGAGGAAGCAGGGCACCCCCAGCATGCAGGGGGTTGGCTGGTTTAGGTTGGATCCCAGCTCTTTCCAAGCAGGAGGGTGGGTCTTACCCCCACCCCCACCCCGGGGGCCTGGGGGCAATGGTGTTGGTAATCAATAACAGAAGCTGTGGGGCTTTCCTTTGACTGGGCCGGACCGGATGGAGACAGGAAATTCGGAGGCTGTGGATGACGAGTGGGTAGTGGGTAGGTCGTGCCTGCTCAGGGTGTGAAGGAAATTCAGATACTGAAAGCAGAAGGGTGAAGCAGGGGAGGGTAAGGCTGGGGGGCGGGGGAGGGGGGGGAGGCTGGTGAGGGCGAGGCTGGGGAAAGTGGCTGTGCCAACCATCAGTAAAGGTCAACAAAGCCTGGCTGCTGAGCCTGTCCCTGGCACAAGGGACCCTTTGTGTATCATTAGGGTATGGGCCTCATGATGGGGGAAATTACCCTGGATTATCTAGGTGAGCCCAATCGAATCACGTGAGCCCTTGAAAGTGGAGAATTCTTCCTGCCAGACTCAGTGACTTGAGACAGGGGGGCGCTGAGTCAGAACAATTGGCTCTCGCCGCCGTAGAAGATGGAAGAAGGGATCCAGGCCACCTGCAGGAACTGGGAGGCACGAGGGTCGGATGCTCTGGAGGATGTCGAGAAAGGAGCCTGCCCTGCTGACTCCAGGGGAGCCACTCGGAAGGAAGGTGATCAACGTGCGCTGTGTGCCTCACTGCGTCTGTGCGGGCAGCGCCAGCCAACCGGCCACCTCCGGCAGAGGTGGCCCCATCCTGCTGCTGTTCCCCGGCGCTCCACCACCACCTCCTCTCTCCCTTCTCGTCACTTTCCATCACTCTGGTGTCTCCAGATGCTCAGGTTGGACTTCTCTGAAGACCGAACCTTGGCTGGCTAATGGTCAGCAGAGGTTTTCGGTGTCATGAGTCAAGGTTTCAGGTATAAGCTAACTTCAACAGCCCACTCACACGCTGCGGAAGGGAGGTGAGGGGGCCAGGGCACTCTGTCTGCTCCTATGAGCACTGAGAGGTGCGCACACAGCCCTTGGATGACTGAAGGGGTGAGGGCACTGAGACCACCCAGGCCTATGTTCTAAGCCAGTGAGCTGTGCGGCCTCCCAGCATACTCCTGCCCGTCTTGGGTCCATTCATAAACGAGGAAGGCCCACTGGGAGGGTTCTCCCCTCACAGGCCTGAGGATCATGGGAGCGAGCTCTGACCTGCGGAGGGAGGGAGGGAGAGGGCCAGCCGTGGGTGGGGTCAAAGGCTGTTTCTCCCCCAGGCTCTGCCAGAACCAAGCTTTGAGCATGGCCACAGGCACTTTGATGTGTACCCTCTGTCTTCTCACCACTACACTGAAGGGGGTGGATCCCTGAGGTCACTTCTAGTTGGGAGCTCATTTGAATTTTTGACTGAGCCTCCCACCCCTCCTGGGACTGTCAGGTACTGCACCAGCCTGCTTCTCCAGGTCTTTTTAGAGTGATTTGCACCCATCACCCCCACCCTCCACGCTCCTTCCTGATGCCCCCAGTCCACCCACCTCGGCCCCCAGCCTGAGGGTGCCAGCATGAGGCTGTGGCGGTGTAGGTCAGAGATTCACAGATTAGAAGCAGCCTGATGATTCGGTCTTTAGCAAAACAGTGCGAGCAGCCCAGTCCCTGCTCCCTCCTGGCATCTCCCCTTCCCCAGTGCGCCCCCATGGGCTCCACTCCACATGCAGGCTCTCACTACCAGGTGCTCCATCCCTTCCCCGGGCACGCACCCGGACTGTGTTCCCTCCCAACACCCAGAGCCACGCTCCACATAAGGGGCAGAGGTGGTGGGGGATGAGCCCTGAGAATGAAGGAAAACAATCAACTATTAAATCTGTTTAGTAAGACAACTTCGATCATACAAAACAACAGTTTACAACAGTCTGAGTGCAGGACACGCCATTGGAGGAGGGGAGGGAGGGAGGGAAGGAGGCGGTGCTGAGCCCCCTGCCCTGGGGGAGGTGAAGATTAGAGGGCAGGGCCCAGGGCCCTGGGAGTCCCTATCACACTTGCCTCATTAATACACCCCCTCCTTGACCCGGACACATGACCAAGGAGAGGGTAAAGTGGCTGCCAGGAAGGGGAGCAGTCAGGGCATCTTTGGTGAGAAGACTCTCCCCAAGCCACTGGGGCACACACGGGAAGTTGTCCGCCGGGCTACAACTGGCCCTGGGCCACAGCGCCAGGAGAGACACGTGCCGTGTTAAAATGTTGTCACTATACATTGCTCCGACTTACCCAAGAGAGTTGAGGCAGCCTGTTATGAAAAGGCTAAAAATTTAAGAAAATAAGCAATGGGCTAGGGGCAGCCACAAGGGGAAACAGGTTAGCACTAGGTCAGTGCTTCCCAGGACGTGGGCATGGCACGAAGTGGGGTGGGCTTCAAGGACCCTCTCCCCGATCTGCTGCTGCGCCCATGGCTGATCTGCGCCTGGAATCCCGCTAGACGGCTGTGCACAGAGGACCTGGCCCCAGACCCAGAAGCTCCCCAGGCACTTCTGTGGGCCCCATGCGGGCAGCGCAGGCCCACCGAGGGAGGAGCTTCTGAAGCCAAAGCAGGGTCCTTTCTGCAGCCCTGCTCAGCCTGCCCCTCTAGCACACCACTGGAGCACAGATCCACGCATGCACACACGCACACACACAGCCTCCTCTCCACCTGGCACACTGACGATGACGGAGGGCGGCAGGGGAAGTGGCACTGCTGGCTCCAGCCCTCCATGGCCGCCGCCCCAGCCGGAAGGGCCCTGACGCTGTGGTGGGGAAGTGGGGGGCAGAGAGGGGGGGCCACACATACCCTCCGGGAGTTCCACAACAGCCTTTTACAAACCCCAAACCCTTGTGGTATCCAGAGGGCAGGGGCTGGGGAGAGGAAGTGGCAGTAGGAGAGAGGACGAGAAGAGATTTCATAAAAAGTCCACGTCAAATGACAGATAAAACTGCGCAAGACGCCCAGGTCCCAGAGCGCCTCGCTGCCTTCTCTCCTGGCCCTCGCTGGCCCCTCTCAGCGTGGCCTGACCACAGCAGGGGGCGGCGTCCCATCACGCTCCTGTCACCAGCAAGCCTTGGGCGCCCAGCAGCAGCGGCGGGAGGGAGGGAGAGAGGAGGCATCACTGAGCAGTTGTGTGGCCCTTCTTTTAAAAGTGGACTCCTGTGGAGGTATTGCTTTCCCTGCGGCCAGCAGGAGCGCTGGGCGGCTAGTGGGCCAGGGCCGCTGCCTCCAGGGCCCGCGCCTTCTTCCGCCTCTTCAGCAGCAGCGGGTTGGACGCGTCCTCGATCTTCTTTATCTTGATCTGCTCATAGTCCACGCGCATTGTGGCCAAGGCGCTGGTCATCTCCTCCTGAGGGCGGGCCGTCGGCAGAGCGAGGCCATGAGGGTGGACAGAACACAGACTGGTTAGCGGTCTGTGCTGCTCATCCCCAGCTGGACTGAGCAAGGACCTGGCCACCCAAGACCCCTTGGAGATGGCCGTGCAGTACGGCAGAGCCCATACTGCACTGAGGCTCGGAAAACCCCAGCAGGTCTGTCTCAGCCTGTCACTAGCTGTGTGACCTTGACCAAGTCACTCCCCCTCTCTGGGTCTCAATTTACCCATCTGCACCAGGTGACC